TTTAATTGGGGCTATCAATCTCTTGAGTACGCCCCAATTCCTTGTTGGACCAATTTTAGAGACATGGGCTCTCTTTCTCAAAAAGAACCAAAGTCAACTAAACACAAACTAGTGTTTGCAACCACCAAATCAGCTATTAAACATGAAATTGGCCCAAATATCAAATACCCATAGTCAATCTAGCCCTAAAACACAAGACCCATCAATTACCCATACGAGGGTTGAGCCACAACCCTAGCTTATGGGTCTAGCTACTCATAATTGAAGAAGAAAACAAAGAAATAGATGAAGAAAAAACCATATTAATTAATTGCTAAGATAAACTAGAAGATTCAATGTTGAAATGAAGCTAAAATTGCACAAAATAGCTAAAACTATCGAAGTCACGATAGCAGCTTAGTACAAAATCTATCTGATGACCTAAAAATGGGAAAAGAAGCAATTTACACTAAGCTGAAAAATCTGGACAAAAATACCCCTGCGGGGCTAGTGCGGACCGCACAAAATCACGTGCGGCCGCACTAGGGCTCTGAACTTGAAAATCCAACTCTCTGAACTCGGGCAATGCGGACCGCACAGAATCGAGTGCGGCTGCGGTGGTTCTAGTGCGTTCCGCATGAAATGGGGCGCGGACCGCATTGTCTTTAATCTCCAAACTAGCACTTCTCTGATCCTTGGTTTTGCGGACCGCACTAAATCGAGTGCAGCCGTAGTGACTCCAATGCGAACTATATTAAATCTCATGCGGCCGCATTGCCTGTTGGCCTGGAAATCAACCTCTCTGAACATCACTTGTGCGGACCGCACAGAATGGTGTGCGGCCGCATTGGGCCTGTTTTGCCTGGGCTTTGTCTTGTCTTGGTACTTGTGCAAGTTTCACTCCTTTTTGAGCTGATCTTTGACATCTTGTCACTTTGTTGATCAAACCTGCAATCAAGCACAACTTGTGAGCCTTTTGGGACTATTTTGTACAAATTTCTAATCAAAGCATAAGCAAGAAGGAGTATAAAATGTATCAAAATCCCTAGTTATCAATAATCACATATGCTCTCAGCCTCATATCAACAAGCTACCTCGTGGCGTACAAATCTCAGGCCCTCGGCATCATAATCACAATCAGTGTATCCTCACAACACAGGCCCTCGGCCTTACTCAGTCAGAATCTCATAAGCCACTCGGGCAATAGTAAAACATGATGCTCAACCCAAATTATTATTTAAAATATCATTTAATGTATTAAAACAGAGTAGAGATGGCTGAGTTATGAAAATAGTAGAATATAGCATGACTAGGTACAAGTATAAAGTCAAAACAGCGAGAAAATATCAGTAAAAATTCCCTAAGGGTCCAAATAGTTGGCACGATGCCTAAATATGGCATTCAGCCCAAAACATGATGATAGCAAATAGTTTTCAATTAAATACGTGGTAAAACAGTCATATGGGATGGACTAAGTCACAATCTCCAATGGTGCACGACCCCACGCTCATCATCTAGCGTGTGCGTCACCTCAATATAGCACAACGATGTGCAATTCGGGGTTTCATACCCTCAGGACAATATTTAAAATCATTACTCGTCTCAAACTGGTCCAAACTCTAGCCCGCGATACCTTTGCCTCTCGAATCGGCCTCCAAATGCTCCAAATCTAACCAAAATCAGTATATTATAATCAATATATGCTAAAGGGACAAAGTCCAGGCGAAAATAATCAAATTAACTCAAGTCTCCCAAAATTGCTCAAACCAGGCCCCTGGGCCCACATCTCGGAATCAGACCAAAGTCTCAAAATCCGACAACCCATTCAATTACGAGACTATCCATACTAGTTTCACTCTATTCCGACTTTGAATCGACTTTCAAATCTAAAAAATTCATTTTATGAAGTTCCACAATTTTTCCCAAATTTACATCCCAAATCTCTACTCAAATGAAGAATCCAACGTTATAATCATGTATTTTAGCTAAAATTGAGTTAGAATCACTTATCCCGATGCTTTTTCTTGAAAATACCTCAAAAAATTGCCAAATCCAGAGCTCTCTAGGTCAAAATATAAAATAAAACCCCAAATCTCGTATTTATAGAGTACCTTACGGATCCCCATCACCGCTGACCGCGGTAAAACCATTGCTACAGCGGAAAATGTTGACTGCAGTGACATAGTTTAGTATTTTGGTTATAATTTCTCTACAGATGTCCAAATTATGATTTCTATACCTTTCTGGAAACAAGACACGAAGGGCTACAACTTGTGTTTTTAAATCATCTCAACATTCCTTGTAGATAAAAGGATATAGGCTTCCGAAGTTGGACCAATGACCTACGGATTCTTTATGACCGCGGACCATTTTCCGTGACCGCAATAAAACCACCGCGCCCAGCGGTAAAACTTCTACCCCATCTGTAAATTTAAGCACCAAAACCAATGCCTAAGTCCATGTAATGCCCGAACTCGTTCAAAACTCACTCGAAACACACTCGAGGCCCTCGGGACCTCAACCCAAACGTACCAACACCTCCCATAACATCATTAAAACTTAGTCGAGCCTTCGAATCACTCAAAACAACGCCAAAATACCAAATCAACTTCGGATTCAAGCTTAAGAACTTAGGAACTTTCAAGTTCCACAAATGATGCCAAAACCCACCAATTCAACTCCGAATGACCTGAAATTTTCACACACATCACAAATAACACAAAGGACCTATTCTAACTTCCGGAATTCTATTCCGACCCCTATATCAAAATCTCACCTATCAACCAGAAAACGCCAAAATCCCAATTTCGGCAATTCAAGCCTGAACCTTCCACGGACCTCCAAAATACATTACTATCACGCTCCTAAGTCCCAAATCACCTAATAGAGCTAACCAATTCATAAATATTCCAATTCGAGATCATATACTAACAAGTCAAATCTTGGTTAAACCTTTCAAATTTTAAGCTTCAAATTGAGAACTGTTCTTCTAAATTCATTCTAATTACCCTGAAAATCAAAACCGATGATTTACATTAGTCAAAATACATCACACGGGGCTATTCATGCCCGAGAACTAGTGAGCGAACTGCAAAATCTCAAAACGACTGATCGGGTCGTTACAATATGCAGGTAAAATTATGAATGTCACCAAAATCGGATAGCATGAGGAATGTCCCTCTATGCCTGCATCCAGGGGCGTAAGCAGAAACTTTCATAAATGGTATCGAACATTTAAAGAATTTAAAATATTAATGAGCCACTATAATAACATTAGGGTTCTAGATCAACTCAAGTTATTGTGGAAAAAATTTAGACAATAATAATTACTTACCACTTCTGTGAGCAAAAAATGAGCTTTGACTCATCGATTTTGTCACTTATTACTGATCAAAATGTTGTTGGACTCTTTAAAGCCTCTACTTTTTAACAAAAAGAGGGCTTCACTTTTAAAAAAAAGAGGCTTCGAAAGTTCTAAAACCATGCTTGTAATGCAGTTTCGAACCCCTGACTTCTTATACAAAATTAAGCGCTTGACAATCAGACCATGAGACACTTTCTGTCCAGTAGTATCACTTATTTTATATATACACATTTGGATATTCTATGTGGAAACATTATATATATTTAATAAAGATTTCTGATGAAGCGGTGTCGAGTGACACCACTTTGCCTAAAGTAAATCCGCCCCTGCCTATATCTCAAGTACGCATGTCAAATGCAATGCATCTCAGTGATGAACTCATGTACTCACACTCTCAGAGTATTCAATCTCACTGCCTCTTGTTCTCTCTCACCATGCTCAATACTTAGCACACTCGGTCACTCAGTATTATATAGGGCAGATCCAGCCCAATGAAAATGAATCTAGGGCAGATCCAACCCAAAAATCAATAGCAACTGCGCCCACTGTGGATGTGCAGACTCCGGAGGGGATCATCCAGCCCAACCGCTATAATAATTCAAATCCTGGCATGAATCAATAAAGCTTGTTGCGGCGTGTAGCCGATCCCATAAATATCACTCATAACAGGCCCTCGGCCTCACTTAGTCATCAATCTTTCTAGTCTCTTGGGCTCACAACGCTCAATGCTAAGCAGCTCAAATCAATGATATGAGATGTGAGAGTATACATCAACACAGACTGTGATATGATATGTAATAATGAATGCGTCTGAGTACATAACTATAATTAAGCAAATAACTCAACAGCAAAAAATGACCACTGTGGGTCCCAATAGTACCAGCATATAGCCTAGACATAATTTCTAGCATAAACTACAACTCAGGTGATCTAACACATAGAATACAGTAAAAATGTCCAGATAAGATAGCTGCACAATTTCATGAAATCGACTAAATCACAATTCACATGGTGTATGCCCACACGCCCGTCACCTCGCATGTGCGTCACCGCAACATCAATCACATAACACGTAATTCAGGGTTTCATACCCTCAACACCAAGTTTAGACGTGTTACTTACCTCGATCAAGCTAAATCCAATACCGAGCAAGCCAAACAATACTCCAAAAATGCCATCCCATAAAAAGTTGTCCTTCTTTAGAAAGTCTGTTAGAGGTTGACTAATAAGGCCATAGACTCTGATAAACTTCCTGTAGTACCCAGCTAACCCCAGGAAGCCTCGTAGTTGCTTTACAGTTGTGGGAGTAGGCCAGTGCTGCACAACCTCTATCTTCTTTGGGTCAGTAGCAAATCTTTGTACAGAAATAAAGTGCCCCTGATATTCCACTCTTGGCACACCAAAAACACATTTAGAATGCTTGGCTAATAAACTATTCTGCATCATAAGGTCAAAAACCTATTGTAAATGAAGAAGATGATCTTGCAAGTTCTCGCTGTAGATAAGAATATCTTCAAAGAAAACAAGTACAAATCTTCTGAGAAGTTCCTGAAAAACATGGTTCATTAAGCACTGAGAGGTGGAAGGAGCATTGGTCAAGCCAAAGGGCTTGACCAAATACTCATAGTGTCCCATGTGTGTTTTGAATGTTGTCTTAGGTATATCCTTAGGATCCATCCTGATCTGGTGGTAACCAGACCTGAGATCAATTTTAGAGAAGATAGAAGCCCTTGATAACTCATCCAGTAGGTCATGAATAATAGGAATAGGGAATTTATCTTTAATAGTGCAATGGTTTAGATCCCTATAGTCCACACATAACCTGCAAGTGACATCCTTCTTACCTATCACCAGGACAGGTGAGGCAAAAGGATTGTTACTGTACTGTATGACCCCTTGCTGCAGCATCTCTTTTACCAACTTCTCAATGATATCTTTCTCTATAGAGGAATATCTATAAGGTTGGATATTGATTGGTTTGGTACCATGTTGCAATGGAATCCTGTGGTCAAATGCACCTCTTTGAGGAGTAGTGCAGTAGGTTCTGAGAATACTCGCTTATAGGTCATCAACAAGTCGTTGAGTGACTGTGGCATCAATTCATCATTAGGTAAATGTAAGGCTATCATAATTACATCACTTCCACAAGCAGGTAATGGTGCCTCAAACAACACTTGTAGCATATACAATCGAGCATTGTCACCTTGATACCTGTTAACAGCTTTAGAACTAGCGAGCTTAAAATCCTCCGAAACTCCGTTCAAAAAATGTTGTTTCCCTTGGTAGTTAAAGGTCATAATTAAGGCTGAATAGTCCATTGTGACTGTACCTAAGGTCTTCATCCACAAGGCTCCCAAAACCAAATCATATTTACCAACAAGAAAGACAATGAGGTCAGATACATATATAGTACCTTCTGGCATCCATTTAAAATCCTTTACCACTCCAGAAATGGCTTCAAGAGTGTTGTTGCCTAAGCTGACATAACTTAACATAGTAGGAGTAACAGAACAACCTAGATTCCTTGCAGCTGATGAATCTATGAAATTACGGATGCTACCACCATCTAGGAGAATTTGAAAAGGCTGTTTATCACTGTAACCTATAACATGAATGGTCTATGCTCCCTGGATACCAGCTAAGGCACATAATGAAATGTGAGGATGTTCTTCTTCAGCAGCAGGCCATTCCTCGGGAAGTATCTCAGCTTCAGAAATGATGTCTCCATTTTCTGTAGGTAAAGAATAAGGGTCCTTCAAGATCTAAGATGAACAATTGTTTTGGAAGATTACATTTGTGACCTGCAATGTATTTTTAATTTCATCACAGAAATAGCACAATCCCTGGGCCCTTTTTGGCTGTATCTCAGCTGGAGAAATAGTTCTCTTATTCCTAGGTACCACAGCAGTATTAGCAGCAGGTAATGCCAATCGAGGTGTATGACTAACTGCTGAGTATAGAGGAGGTTTGGGGCCTTCGTTATCATAAGAAATTCTCCTAGCAGTAGAGTAACCAGTTGAAGTATGTTTTTGAGCACTAGCATTAGTAGCCAAAGTGGCCTCAGCTAGCCTGAAAGTTTTAGCTAAGGTTTTGGGCTCATGCATCATAATAGGATTCACCAATTCCTCCTCCAAACCACCAAGAAAGCAAGAGATAGCTTGCTCAACAGTTAAGTTGCGTTGAGCTACCAAACTATCATAGGCAAATTGAAACTCTCTAACAGATCCTGTTTGTTTCAACTGTTTCAGTTCTAGCATAGGATCAGAAAAATCACCACTAAAAGTCTCGATGAGCTCAGCTATGTACTCATCCCACACATGTAACATAGGTAAATTCCTACACTTAAGGTATGAGTGATGCCAAGCTAGTGCCTCATCATCGAGGTTCATAGCTAATAACCTCACTCTCTGATTGAGAGGAGTTTCATCCTCAGTGAAATATTACTCAATTCTATACAACCACGTTTTCAAATTCTCTCCATTGAAATGAGAAAAAACCAGGTTATGACTTCGATTAGAATTAACACAGTAAGGATTTGGACCTAAAATACCCTGACCTGATTGGAGCATTTTTTCCTTAGCAGCTAATGTAGATGCATTATCCTTTGATTGTTGATTCAATTGCAGTCCATCAAAGGAATGTGTAAGAGCACTCACCATCTGCAGAAGTTCACCATGACGTTTGTCCAAATCATCTCGTAATTCCTGCTTTTTTGGTGCCAATTCTGCTCGAAGATCTAGCTGTTGAGCTGCTAGATCCTCATACTGCTCCTGCAAATCCATGGATTGATTAACAGTCACAAACATCAACAGCTCGTCGTGGGTCCATCGTCTACTTGGTTTTGATACCAATTGATACCACTCCAATGAAACAGTGGGAAAAATAATAGAAATGGAGAAAAAACAGAAGAAGAGAGAAGAAGAGAAGCATAACTTAGAGAGAAGAAGACGAAGAGAATAGGGAAACTCAATTCATATCAATCTGTGTTTACATTTTTTATGTATCTCCTATATATAATATTTGTAATGAAGCTAAAATGCTGAAATAAAAGGAAAAGGAAAAGGAAATGCAAACACGCTAATTGTGTGACACAAGCACTAACTACTTTTCCCGCCAAAACATAGGCAGCTAAATGTCAAAAACTAATAGCCAATATGTGTATCAGAACTTCTGAAATTGGCGTAGGTTTTATTGCTTACATTTTCTTTAAAATTTTGCAAAACTCTTCTAATACTTGTTTCTTCCTAACAGTCACCAACTAGCACTCATTATAGCGTTAATTCCTATCATCAAGAACTCATTCTTGGCTCTGGGTATACCGAAAGAAGAGGCACAGGAGATTAATTAGTCATTTACGTGTTTCTGTATATGTTCCTCTGTTTATAATTAGTTGTATAGATGGATAAAGGGACTATGATATGATCAGGTGTGAGAGGTCAGGTGGAGACCACTGAACAAGCTGGAGTTGACGCTGCTGCAAAAGTTGAAGGTCCTGTCGTTATTGTAACGGAAGCTTATAGAGGAATCGGCAAGGCAATTGCTTTGGCTTTGGGAAAGGCTGGTTGTAAAGTCAGTTAACTGCTAGAAAATACCCCAAAGAAAAGTTCTTTTTGTGAATGAAACATTTTCTTTCATGACAACCTCTGTGGTTTCACTGTCAAACAGCATCAGCTTTAATGTGCTATGGTAGTTGCTCTAATTGTGTTTACATTGGCAATAGTTTAAGGTACCTTGAAGAAATCTCTCTTTAGTTAGTCTGAAGTTGTTATATCATTAAATTTTAGCCATATATAACCAACTAATTTTCATTTGCTGAGAGGCTCAGGGCCATGCTCCCCGAGTTTCATTAAAGCATTGTAATAAAGCCTGGTAATTAGAGTGAGAGCAACTCACATGGAATTTCTCGGTTACCCAAAAAAAGAGAAAAAAATTAACTCAGGAACTATGTAAAGTTACAATATTATATAAATATTGTTACTATATATGACTAACTTTCATATGATGAAAGTGCAAATGTGTCAAAGATCTATATATGACTAACTTTCCCATTTAGTGTTTATGTATAATATAAATATTATTGTATTGTTTTTCTAAATGGATGGTGTTGAATTAATTCAAAGAGTAAGCATAGAATTTTTTTTTATTATATGTTATAAATCTACTAATAATGATCATAATTATTATTTTTGTATTATTTTTGATGAGCAATTAAATTAAATTCTTCTTCCCGTTTGTATTCTTATTCTTTTATATATATATATCTACACTAAAGTTAGAGGGAAAGAATGTCAACCATTTATCAGTTTTTTCAATGTTATTAGGAAATGACATAAGTTTGCACTGTTGAATTGAAGTAGACTCTTCCAAAAGAAGGTCTGATTGGATGGAAATTTTGAGGTTGCATTTTCTTTTAGTTTGTTCCGCAAGTAGAAGCAGTGATCTTAGCAGTTAGCGCAATGGTAAAAATAGTAGTGTAGAGGATTTCCGCTAATGGTCTTGAAAGAATTAGCCCAAAGGAAGAAAAAGAAGAAGATCCAAAAAAGTTGCTACTATTAAACTCAACAGAATGAGAAGAATAATACCCAAATTGGATAAATAAAGGGAAAATAGGCAAAAGAAAACTTACCTTACTACTGAATATATACTCCCTTCGTCAATCACATTAGAAGAATTCTCTCACATATCCTCCTTGTGAAAAATGTTGAAAAAATACAAAACAAACAAAACCTACGTAGAAGTAAATTGTTTAAAATTGAAATGCAGAACCTACACTTTTTTCGAATAAAAAAAGAGTACCTTTTTTGGATGAAATTGTGAACCGATTATTCTGAATCCATAACCATGGTTTAACAATATTGTCGCCGACAACTTTTAGCAATTCAAATTTTACTTCAAAATTGAACTTCGCAGTATACAAATGTAGAATCAATACGGATACCTTGAACTGAAGATGTGAAATTGCAGAAATTTTAAGCCCACGCATTGAACAAAGTTCGTAATTAAGAAAAATAGGAGGAGAGTCATTTATGAGGGAAGGAGTGGGGATGAATAGTCCATAATGTGGGTACTGTTTCAGGGTTTTTTTAAACCTTTGCAGTTTCTATTTTCTTATTAGTGCTGAGTAATGTGGTCTTTGAAGTTAACTGTTGTTTGCCTTTAAAGTTTAAAAACTTTACGTGAGGAGGGGGAATGTAGGAAGTGGGAGTAGTTGGTGATTTTTATTGGTGGTTTCTATTGTTTGAAAATTTAAAAATTCTACAAAAAATTTATGTATAATACAAATATTATTGTATTGTTTTTCTAAATGGATGGTGTTGAATTAATTCAAAGAGTAAATGTGATGATCCAAAATGTCATCTTTAATTTAAATAATTTTCTCCGTATTTTAAGACCTTGAAAAGCACTATCAATAAATTCTCGACTTGCGTGCGCAATCCATATAATTTTTCGGAAGGTTCTTATGTGAAAAATGGATTAAATTGTGAATTAGAGCTTTAAAACTCAACTGAGTTGACTTCGGTCAACATTTTGGGCAAACGAATCCCGATAAAAGTTTTGACCATTCCGGTAGTTCCGTATCGTAATTTGGGACTTGGTCATATGCCCGAAATCGAATTTGGAGGTCCCTAGATCAAATTATCGTCATTTAACGAAATCTAGAAATCTAAGGTTAAAGATTTCTTAAGTTTGACCGGAGATTTGACTTTTTGATATCGGGGTCGGAATCCAGTTCTAAAAGTTTTCATAGCTTTGATATGTCATTTATGACTTGTGTGAAAAATTTGAAGTCAATCGAACTTGATTAGATAGGTTTTTGCATCGAATATAGAAGTTGGACGTTCTTAGTTTCATTAGGCTTAAATTGGGGTGTGATTCACGGTTTTAGCTTTATCTGATGCGATTTGAGGTTTTGACTAAGTCTGTATCATGTTTTAGGACTTGTTGGTGCATTTTGTTGTGGTCCCGAGGGCCTCGGGTGGATTTTGGATGGTTAACGGATATAAAAGGCTGTTGAAATTTTCTGGGCAGTTTCTGCATTTTTCTCACGTGTGAACAGTGACCGCACCTGTGTAACAGTATCCGTGTAGAGTACCCGTGTATAGTACACATGATAGTATCCTTGTACAATAGCCGTGTACAGTACCCATGAACAGTACCGTGAACAATCATCGTGAATAGTAAACGCGTGAACAGTAACCACGGAAAATTCTGGACAGAATGTTAAGTTCTGAAAAAGAGACTTCGTCCCATTTTCCATTTTTACCAAATTGGAGCTCGGGAGAGGCGATTTTCGGGAGATTTTCAGAGAAAACAATGGGGTAAGTGTTTTTAACTTCATTTTGGTTAGATTACCCGAATCTATTACTAGTTTTGGCATTTAATTGGTGATTTTAGTTGGGAAAATCTTGAAAACCCTCTTGGTTTAATTTAAAGATTTAAGGGTCGAGTTGATATCGGATTTTGGTAAAATTGGTATGGTTGGACTCGTGGTTGGATGAGATTTTATATTCCGTAATTTTTGTCGGGTTCTGAGACGTGTGAATTTTTAGTGCAATTTCGGATTTTAAAGGGAAAATGTAGAATTTCATATGGAATTAATTCCTATAATTTTTATTGATTGAAACAAATTGTTTATGACTAGATTTGAGAATTTCGGGCACGAATTCTCGAGGCAAAGGCTTGTTGAAATTTTAATTGGTTGCAAAGCGAGGTAAGTGTTTGGTCTAACCTTAGCTTGAGGGATTAGGAGTTGTGTACTATTTGTTATGTGTTATTTGTTGAGCACAACATATAGGCATGGTGACGAGTATCTATACGTTGGTGTCAAGCATGCTCGTGAGTCTTATACTTTGATTAATGTGACTCTGTTTTGTATTGTATATGCTCTATATGATAATTTCTATTGAAGAATATGATTTGTGGAAGTATTATTGTTAATTAAACATGGTAGAGCATTGACTCAAGTTGAGAATTGAATTGTTGAACATTGTAGAGCATTGACTCAAGTTGAGAATTGAATTGTTGAACATTGTAGAGCATTGGCTCAAGTTG